AAGTTGCATCCTCCCAGCTTTCAGAAAACTTAAAGCATACGTCAATGCTTCTGGTAGAGAAGGATTGGATCCATTGCTTCTCTACAACAAGCATTGACTGCATCCTGTGTCACATTGATTATCAGTGAGAAGCACTGAATTTGCTAGTAGATCAGTACTGAATATCTCCCTGGAAAAAAACCGGCAGTGAGGGATCTCCTCAATGCTGTTTTACACACAGGCTAGGTATTTAACAGGAAGCAAGGAGGCCAAGAGGGGCTAGGGGTTTCAATAATACACAAGTGTAAATATTGTTTTTATTTACAACACTGGAGTCTTCCTGTAACCTCTTTGTGATAGGCACTAGTCTGGCAAGGCATAGTGCCACGGAGACTGGAGGCCTATTGACACAGAGAATTGTTTGTGGAATGTGAGAGATGATTATGTATATCCAGTAATAGTTTTGCAGATCTTGCTATCTGTAAGCGTTCGCTAGATTTAAATCCTATCCAACTTTAATCCTGAGTTTGATGTTTGTATGTCACTTTAACAAACAACTTCTCCAGGAAGCCAAAAACGAGGTATGCCAGAATGATCTACAATGTGATTCCTGTTTGTAACCTAAAAATATGGTACTGGTATACATGTGTGGAAATGCTCTACACTGGCGAATACAGCAGAACACAATTCTATGGGTTTTTTGTTTTTTTTTAAGTAGTTATACTCACAAGGCCTTTGAAATTCACCATTGAAATTCAATATGTATGTGAAATTTTAACAAAAAAAAAATTACCACTAAATTGCAGAGTTAAAAGGCTTTTAAAATACTCCATATTATATTGTTCAGGTTGTCTTCTTTTGCTAATGGTATTCCATGATTGGGGTATAGTGCAGTAAAGGACTTCCATTTTGTTCAGTGAAAACTGAAAGTCGGAAAAATTTAAATAATGTCCTATGACAAAAAAGCATGTCCTAAATTATATAATAAGCACATTTGTCAGATATTGTGAGAATACAAACACATACATTTGTATCAGTATACCAAGTTTTTACTTAAAAAACATATTTCACTCCTTGCAATATTTGTATGATAACTACCCAATATGAATTCTTGACATTTTAGGTATTTTTACAATCAGGAATAAGTGAATCTGTTTTGAGCTTTGGTTGTGTTTTTTTTGTTTTTTGCGTGTGTTTTGTACTTTTATTATTACTATTATAAGCAGAAGAAACCTAAAACAAAAGTGCAAAAAAGGCTAAGGGGTTAAACAAAGATGCACAATTAAATTTATTTGTTTATTTTTAACCCCTTAAGGACACATGACATGTTTGACATGTCATGATTCCCTTTCATTCCAGAAGTTTGGTTCTTAAGGGGTTAAATATTCATTATTTAAATATTGTAAATGTACACTTTTGTTCTAATTTCCTGGTTTTCTCCCACACAGGTGAGATTGCTCTACTTGAGGGACTAACGGTGGTCTATAAGAGTTCCATTGATCTATACTTCTATGTCATTGGAAGCTCGCATGAGAATGAGGTATCTATCATCGTTTTGCTTAAATAGTTAGACATCAGCTATTTCCTTCCGAGCACACCTATAACATGTAACTCACTAATGAATACAAATTTATTTCCTGGAATCATCCTGTTTGTCAAAACATTAAAACAATTGTAGTCCAGTTCTGCCTAAGAATATATTTTGCTAAATGCATGCAATTTACAGTCCTTGTTTGTTCAACATCCTCATAGCTAAAATGATTTCTAATAATCGGATTCTAATGTGCTTAAAGGACCACTATAGGCAACCAGACCACTTCAGCATAATGAGGTGGTCTGGTTGCCTGGTCCAGCTAGGTTTAACCCTTTTTTCTATAAACATAGCAGTTTCAGAGAAACTGCTATGTTTATAAATGGGTTATTCCAGCCTCTAGTGGCTGTCTCATTGACAGCCGCTAGAGGGCTTCCGCGCTTCTCACTGTGATTTTCACAGTGAGAAGACGCCAGGGTCCATAGGAAAGCATTGTGAATGCTTTCCTATGGACTGGCTGAATGCGCACGCAGCCGAAGAGGAGGAAGAGAGCTCCCCGCCTGGCGCTGGAGAAAGGGGTAAATTTAACCCCTTCCTCCCCCCAGAGCCCGGCGGGAGGGGGACCCTGAGGGTGGGAGCACCCTCAGGGCACTATAGTGCCAGGAAAACAAGTATGTTTTCTTGGCACTATAGTAGTCCTTTAATCACTTGCCTTGTGGTTTTTGTGTTGGTTTTTTTTTTTTTTCTTTCTCAAACTCCTTTAAGAAAGGGCAATATGTTCCTTTTGCTGTTTAAATTCCTGAAGACTAATCAATGAGGGAAAAGGGAGTTACTGATTTTGTTTTGGACATTTGTCTGATTGGGTTAGGGCAACAGTTGGTTTGAATTTTGGATTTAAACTGTTTATATGCAGGCTTAGGGTAATTGATGTAAATGGAACTCCTACTTCTGTAATTGGTGTTAGTCACTTGCTAGTAGATTCAGCGGGCTCCACTTCCTAATAGACAACCTGGATGTCGTTCTGTGACTCGTATTTTTTTCACCTCAATGGGGAATTCTGTGTGTTATTGGCTGCTTCTACACCAGCATATTTCAAATCTTCAACAGTTAACATAAGATAAATATTGCAAAAATGTTACTATGGAAAATGTAGTATTCCAGAAACTTGTAAACTGTAAGAAAAAGAAGGCACTCCTTATTATGTTGAGAAAAAAAAAAATCTCAATTAATTACAGAAATGTTTAATGTATCTCCCCCCTTTTGGTCATAGTTATTTACTATTATTTATGGCAACTCTGCCACATACATGGTGGGATTTAATACTAGTCTATTACCAGCATGACTCCTACAGCTGTTTAGGCAGTTTGTTTAACATTTATATTACTGGCTATTTAGACTGCAGGCTCTTTTCCTGCAATGTTGCAAACGTATTTTGGTAGATCTTTGCACATATAGTTTTTATGCACTTGATATACTCTTTGTTCTAATTATAAAGTCTATTTACCTTTGCATTTAGAGATCTTCAGTTTGCTACATTTAATGTATCTCCCCCCTTTTGGTCATATTTATTTGCTACTATTTATGGCAATTCTGCCACACACCTACTTATAGCATTTCTTCTGACCATATTACTATTATTTTTGGACTAGTCGATTCTATCCAATTAGATCCTAATTTTATTACTTGTTTGTTTAGTATCTGTGTGTTTCTCCCCCAAGAGGGATTAATAAAGAGTTTTTCGTTTTTTGCTCTCTGCGCTCCACTTTTATATTTATAATTGCAGAGTAGCTTTTTTCACATAAGGATACAAGGTCTTTTTGGGAGGCAGATTGTTTATAATCTGCAACCCATTAGTCCTATTTTCTAATTACAGAAATGTAGACCACTTAAGGACACATGACATGTGTGACATGTCATGATTCCCTTTTATTCCAGAAGTTTGGTCCTTAAGGAGTTAAAGGGTAACTTTCGATTTGTTTACTTATCCCTGTATTTAATAAATATGTAAGGTTTGGAAAAAAAAATTCAAATCTAAAAATCCACACCTCTTTATGTTGCAAATGGGCACCTCCATGTTCGTTACCTTCTTTGCACCTGACAGTCAACATAGAGAAATCATACAGAGAAAATTATAAATGTAAACAGTGTTTCTATTTCTCCTTTACAACATTTTCCCTGGATTATGCTGTAATTTGGTAAATTATGTAATATTAAAATAAAACGGAGCATCTCATGCGCTCTAGTTGATCTATTTTTTTTTTTTATGATTATTTTTTTTTTTTTTTAATGGTGTAAATGTCCTGGAAAGTATCAGGAATAGCTTTATTTTTTTTATTTTTTTTTCAGTAATTGCAGTTCCAGAGACTGTTAAATGGTTTTTACTTAAATGTATCTCTCTTGCTTTATTCACATTTTAAAGACCAACTGAAATAAGTTAGATCAACAATAAGGCATTTTTAGTGCTTCAAGTCTACTTTATAAGCTCTAGTATTCATTACCCAGTCAGGATGTAATGTAATTTGAAATGCTACCTCACTGTTCACTACTTCCAATTATGCTGATCAATTGCCAATTGCTTACCTGCCTTGTTTTATTTAAGACTACATCTATTGGTGCTTGTAATTTTTCATTGAATAACTTAATCTGTTCATCTTTTTGTCTCTGTATAGCTCATGTTGATGGCAGTTCTCAATTGTCTTTTTGACTCACTAAGTCAAATGCTCCGGTACGTCTTTGATCACATTTTATGAAATAAACCCCATCCCATCCCCAGCGCGGTGATTTGTGGGTTTCTGATAGAGATATATTTATTGAAAAGGCAAAATATGTTGCTGTGTGATCATTTAATTATGTACATAATATCCTGTGGTGTATTCCTGTTAGAGTAACTAAGTTATTTAAAAGAGTGTTGACTTTTCTGGAGTGGAATCTTGGGCATAGTACAGTAATGCTTCTATAATTCAATCTACTAACTTGCACATTATGACTTGGTTTAATTGACCGTTTTCTCACTTTATAGAAAAAATGTGGAAAAGCGAACTCTGCTTGAAAACATGGAAGGACTGTTCCTGGCAGTTGATGAGATAATAGATGGCGGGTAAATAAATGAAACGTAAACATTGCCAATAGGGGACTTTTTGGTTTCTTTAAAACCTAAAAACTGAGGTGTAAGAGTATATTTTTTCAATTTTATTTAATGTCAGGGCTTAGGGCAGTTGTAGTTTTCATTCTTTACAAAAATATTGTAAACGTGTCCATTGATTTTCTTGAAGAAAAATGAGTGGGGGAATAAAGAGCATTTTATTCTTCATGTTTGTACAGTGGGATGACAAAATGCTACACATGGAGTTGATGCACAATTTTTTATTTATTTTTTTTGTTTGTTTGTTTATTTAAAAAAAAAAAAGTCATACAGATTAACCCCAAAGTCTGTGTTCCAGCATTGAATGTCCCTGCTTCACTGTCCTTCAGTTTTCTCAAATCCAGAAAACCAGAAGGCTTTTGCAGAGTCGAGAAGCGGCGGCACTAATTGGCTAAGAGCCAGTCAGCTTGTCAAAATCACCTTGGATGATTGATATTCAAACACAATCATACCCCACTCCTCCAAAGCAGTAAAATAGTTGCAGTGAGTTCAGTTTTGCTAGTTCTATCTTGGACAGGCAGGATAAATACAGTTAACATTTAGGCTGCTCCCATGCATTTTATATGTGTGTTGCTTATTTCCCATATCCCTGCCCATATCTTTCTATAAATGATTACAACAATTACTTACTAATTTCATATGGGACTACCTGTAAGCTAGACTCTTACTTCCCTACTGCAGAAACCCTTTTCTGGAGGATCTATGGGAGTACCGAATATTCTCTAGTATTACAGAGCATCAGTTTTACAATCCGTGCTGACACTCTGCCCCTAAAGGTACACTCTAATGAGTAGACATGGGAATGGTTAAATTGCATTGCATCCTCTGATAATTACCATATGGACCCCAACACCTTAGACACTTTTTAAACCTTTAATATTTCCTACTACGGAACGAACGATTAGAGTCTGGGAACAGATATTTGGCTTGATAAGGGTAAGGAAGCACTTTCTACCGAATTCTATTATTTTAGCTTTAGCAAACACCTGTGGTTGTCCATAAAGAAATGGGTAGGAATGGGGATAGCCAATGTATCACAGTTACGGTGAGTATAACCGTTCCCTTCCTTGCAAGAGACCTATACGCTGCCACCAAGTTACATATTCCCTTACATGCAATTTAAGTGTCCTGAACTCACAGGTCATCACATGCCCTAACCCTTCCTTTCAGCTAAGACCAAGGTTTCAGTTAGTGCTGGATAGATGCTGGCACTCTCCACTAAAGCCAAAAGCTATGTCCGCATTCTACAGAGCATTAGAAGAAGCCTTACCAACATTCGCACAGGCTTTTCAAACACGTCATGGAACTTTTTCAAAGTAGTATTGGAAAAGGTCACTTAACACCCTGAAAGAGGTAACCTGATGCTATCGTCATGTCAAAGCACACAATGAATTAGTATATCAGTGGTATATGACCCCCACCCGCTTACGTAGGATTTACTACCTCATCTGCTTGCTGGGGTTGTGGTGAGCATGAGGGTAAAATGGTACATATTTGGTGGAAATGCCACAAATTACAAACGTTCTGGAAGGAGGTGGCTAGCTTACCCTGACTATTTATTATTAATGTTCGAGAAATCCACAATCTTCCTTGATAGAGCTTTGGCAGCATGTCGCCTCATAGCTTTACATTGGAAAAAACACGTGCCATCTTTTCCAAAACTGCTAGAGGGAATAAACCTTAGCTAAACATACCAGCAGTTGTGTCTGTCTAGACTCTAGACAACATCTCTCAAAGGGAGAAATTTTAATGGATATGGTGGCCGTGGAGGGAATATACACTGGTGAAAGGACAGTCCTTGAAATAGAGTAACGTATAAGGCAAGCTGATTAGAAAATACTACATGAGATGCCAACTAAGTAATACACCTGATCAGGTCTTCTAACATAAATACTACATACACCATCAATTCAGTCTGTTTCTGTTTGTATTCTGTTTGTTTTGTATGCCTTGCTATTGGTTCTTTTCCTTTGTACACTGATGTTGTGTATTCTGTAACAATGCCACCATTCTTTGACTACCCTGTACATTGTCCTCTGTATGCCATATTTGGAAAATTAATAAAACACCGATATCAAACATCGGAAAACCTAAAGGCATCAGCACGGCTGATTGGCTGAGAGTGGTCAGCTGACGCTCTCAGCGCCATTCAGTGACTCCACGTTCATAAAACTGGTTAGAAAATAAGCATACCTTTTTTCAAGCCAGTTTTGTGAACAGGGAGCTACTGACAGCTCTCAACCAAACAGCAGCGTTGCTGCCTGATTCTGCAAGACCCTTCCAGTTTACTGACTTTGAGAAAACGTAAGGACAAAGAGGCTTGGAGATTAGGCGCTGGAACACACACATTGGTGTTAAACCATTCGAGAACAGTTTAACCCATTAAGGTGAGCCATGGACATCCTGGCACCATAAAATCTTAATTTTGATTGTTTTTATTGTGCCCAGAGTGCACTTTTTTTTCTTCATCAGTGCTTATAGTAAATTACAAATGATCCTGCAATGCCACAACAGTCAATGCAGGCACAATAACATTAAAGGACCACTCTAGGCACCCAGACCACTTCAGCTTAATGAAGTGGTCTGGGTGCCAGGTCCCTCTAGGGTTAACCCTTTTTTTT